TTCCTTCGGCTTGATCCAATATATATTCACTCTATGTAGGCCTCGTTGTTGAATCCACTTTGATTGGCCCAAATTACAAATAAATAAATAAATAAATAAACTATTTTGTATTAATATGTTATCTAATTTTCCCGTAATGATAAAATAAAATTGCGACAGGTCAAATACCTACGCCTAAAATGCTTTGATAACCCAAAAACGAAATTAGTTCTTGTTGAACACATTTTTTTATTTAAAAAATTGCATTTTTATTATTTCGTTAAGAAATGTTTGTATAAAATGTTTGTTTTTATACGGACTAGATAACACCCAAAAATCGAAACGTAGAATCAATGTAAAAGTTGAATACCCAATTGTTTTTTGGTGGTTCTTCCTATTTAATTTTGTTGTTATTTAACTTATTTGAATCAATCCTTAAAAAACATGTAATATTGAATTATTTTTATTTATGTCCGGAGCTTCGTGTTGTGTCCCAAACGCCGCAACCTTTCAATTCAAATAGAAAATCACGTTTATTTTTAATCTCCAAATATGAAAAAAAAAAAAAAAGATTCGATTTCGTACGGTTGATGCAGTATCGTATCTCGCCGGAGACGTAGAAGAGAGGTGAAGGAGCACGGAAACGATCTTCTGCGGTTCGATTTCTTTCTCCGTTCTCCGTTCACTTGATTAACTTTGACCATTCTTAGCTTCTGCAGTTGTGTATTGGGCTGTTTTCCGTAGCTTTGCTCAAGTTCACATCTCAATATGCACAAGCACAAATCCCTCAGAGTCTCGGCATCTTGGGTGGCAAACCAGGTGCCTCAACGTACATAGTTGGTGTTCAAGACGGTAAAGGCTTCTACCTGGATCCACATGAAGATCATCAGGTTTCTTTTTTGTTATCACGCATCGAATGCATTTTGCGTCTGTTCAACTTGATTGAAACTTATCGCCGGTGTTTCCCCATCAGGTAGTTTTAGTCAGCAAAGAAACTCCGGATGTCGACACGTCATCTTACCATTGCAAGTGAGTTCATCTATAGTCTGTTCCGTTCTGTCTGTATGATCTCTTGTTCCTTATTTTCTTATAATCTACCGGTGCAGTCTCCTTCGGTATCTGCCCCTTGAGTCGCTCGACCCATCTCTGGCTCTCGGATTCTATTGCCAGGACAAAGGTTCAATTCTCTTAAAACAATGTCGTTTCCTTGTCTTATCCTCAAACCTGCCTTCAACAGATGACTTGGACAACTTGTGTCTCGGAGCTTCAGAACTAGCCATGGGATCGAATGGAGCGCCTTTGCTCACTGTGATCCAAACCCGTGACCCGACAAGCCACACCAGCATCCTGACTAGCGACCGTAACGGCACAGTGGCGAGTACTGAGAGCTCAGGGGATGAAAATGAAGCTCAGGAGATGGAAATGAAGGTGATGACTGGCAATTGCTTTGAACATAAAACATCAAACCTTATATTTATATACATATATGTTGTAGCTCCATTTGATAATTGGTTTCTTATCAACATTTTGCATCTCTTTAGCACCATTTTTTTTGTTATTTATTTATTCTTGAAATTTGTCTGTCGTTTCTCCAAAGTGTTGGTGTAATGTATACTGGGCAGTTCATGTTGTTGTATAAACCCAAAAGATTCTTCAGAGACAAAACTCTGTGTTTTAACTTCTATGTGTGTGTGTGTGTGTATATATGTATATATATACACATACCCCACGAGGCGATCAAAATGTGAAATCATTGAAAGAGGAAGACTTAAAAAACCTAATGGCATATGAACATGGCCCCTTCGCATTCTCCTCCGCATTTCATCTATGTTCCGACCAACAGTTCCACCGCTCGATCGTCTCCGCCACCATCTCCCATTTCTTGGAGTCGTCCTCTGTCGATCGCTGTTAGTGAAGCACCATACCCCTCCGTTCTCCGATTTCGCCGCCGGAAACCGCGACTCCGCCTCTCGGGCTCGTGGCGGGAATCGTCTATGCGTTTTCGATTCTAAAGATGGAAACTTGAGTTTACCGATATTTTTAAAAAAATGAAAGTTTTTTTTTTTTTTTCGTTTCTCAAATTTGTTTTTTTTTTCAATTTCTTATGCTTTTTTTTTTAAATAAAGGCAGAAGAAGTGGTGTGCGAGCGAGACCAAGATCACGGACCTGGATTCATCTATCATTTGGCCGCTCGTGTGTATATATGTATGTATATGTATACGCCATGGTTTGGTTTCATCTGAACCTGTCCATACATAGACTCACACTTGTGTTCCCTGTCGTTTCTAGGGTTTCCAATTGTCCTGCTCGTCTCTTCCTCCGTTGACTCTGTTATCCACTCTCCGATCAGATCCTCTTCCTTCTCCGCCGGAAATCTGGTTCCTCTATCTCTCTTCCCTCGTCTCTCTCGTCGATCGATCCGGGGCACAGACACACTGCGCGAAACAAACTCTGATTTCCGACAGGATAAAAGGGTCGGGAGCCATTCTCGCCGATCTGAGGTAAATTTTCGAACTTCCTCTTCGTTGACATTTCCGGGTATGTCAATAGAGATATCGTAGCGATGACCGATCGGCTTTTTTTCTTTCACAGAAGCTACCTCCTTAGCGGAAACAGGCTCGAATTGCTCAACGAGTGATGTTTTGGTATTAGATTGGCTGGGCTTTGATAATCTATTGGATAGTTGCATGTGAATTTGCAAGTCCCGACTTCTGTATAGAAGCATCTTCAGATTTATACTAGGATGATGACTCCTTAGCTGTCTGCAGATTTTCAGATTTATACTAAATGATGAAGTTCTTTAATGCACATCTTAACTTAATTTCAGATTTTAGAAAGATTTGCGTTCAATTCATTTTATATGATGTTTTTGGGCATGTATTCCCATGTTGAGTTTCTTATCCCTTTTACAGGGGCAACCTTGCTGGATGTTTCAGACAAGCAATGTTCTCAATGCCAATCTAGCTTGCAGCAGCTCACCAATACCCGGCGACCGTTTAGATCTTAGCCCGATGGAACCCATCAACGGAGGGAACAATGCCAACAACAATCCTAGTCTTGCATCCAAACAACGACTTCGTTGGACTAACGAGCTTCATGAGCGTTTTGTCGATGCCGTAGCACAGCTCGGTGGCCCCGACAGTGAGTTTCCATTCTTCTACTAATGATCTTTCTTAATTCCTGATTTTTACGTTCGTTGGAAAAGTTGATGTTTACCCTTTTTTTCCGCCAAAGCTCTTCGACAGTTCTAACCCAAAATGCTTGGCTATTAGCTCGAGTCCTCGTCCCGTTGTTTTGTTTACCATCATCCTTCAGTTGTGTCCTGATAACTTTGTTTTTTCAAAGGAGCAACACCTAAAGGTGTGCTTAGAGTAATGGGTGTACAAGGATTGACCATATATCATGTCAAGAGTCACTTACAGGTATGAGAGAAATCTTGCCTCATTGACTTATCTTTCTCACCCATATATGTGTCTTATCTGCCCTTAATCTAAAATGTGTTTCTTTGACGTGTCAGAAATATCGCCTGGCAAAGTATCTGCCAGATTCCTCGTCTGAAGGTGGGGGGGCGAACACTGTTTCCCGAGTTTCATTGTGGTCGTGGATTCGCCTTCTGGATCTGAAATTGTTATTTTGAAACTTGCAGGGAAGCAAATGGATAAGAAAGAATCTGGAGATATGCTCGCCGTTTTAGATGGTTCATCGTAAGTGAAACCTCGTTGTGGAAGAGTTGCTTGGCGATGCCGCCACACTGAACGATGTATCGATATAGATGATCAATGGCATGCTTACGCTTCGTTGCATTTCCAGGGGAACGCAAATAACCGAAGCTCTCAAGTTGCAGATGGAGGTTCAGAAACGATTGCATGAGCAGCTAGAAGTATGCTTTACCAATGCTACTTTCAAGATATCTGCAAATTAGGAAAGAAGATTTCAAGAAAATGTGTGTATTATATGTACTATATCGTGAATTCATTTGATGATTTCCAGGTGCAGAGACAGCTGCAACAAAGGATAGAAGCTCAGGGAAAGTACTTGAAGAAGATAATCGAAGAGCAACAGCGACTCAGTGGAGTTATCGGCGAACCATCGGATCCCAGGGAGGGTGATAATTCCCCAGAGGGAGATAACGGCAATGATCCGGGAACCCCTGCCGCGATTTCCGAGTCTCCTATCCAAGATAAATCCGGAAAAGAAGGTGGGAAAGAAAAGAGTCTTTCAGTCGACAACGAGTCTCTATCTTCTTATCCCGAGCCTTTGACACCAGACTCGGGGTTTAACAACGATTATCCCCGGGATAGGTCCGGAGGTGAAGAGAGGTCGTCGAAGAAACCACGGTTAGCGAGAGGCGGAGTGGAGCCCCTGATACTGGAATCAGGACTGGACCCTTTGTTTATATTGAAAGGACAATGTGATAATCCATCTGGAACAATGGTGGGAGGGAGTGAAGCTAGGTTGGAGGACTTGGACAAGGTTTCTGTAGAGAATCTATGAGGTCTCTGTGCCTTTTTCTTTTGTAGTTGAGAAACCACACGCATACCTGAGTGTTTCGTCCATTGTCGTACGAGTGAGGTGGTATCGTAAATCCCGAGTCTAGGTTTTACAACATGTAGCAATGGATATACACGGTGTTGCATTGACATTTGGTGGGAAGGAAAACAATAACCTTATACCCGATCTTAAATCCACCAAATTCCTCGGATTTTGGATTTCTGACTTCGATGTCTTTGTATCTGTATCATTTGTGTTCATGCCGATTCACGGATTATCGAATCAATTGGATGGTGAAGACCGCGGGTCAGAGGAGTTGATCAAGGTAAGCGTAAAGGCAAAGAAAACATACCCGAGACGATATCGAAGGGTCGGAATCTACGACAAAGTTGAGGGATCGTGGCTTACTTGGAGAAGATAGGAATCTCCAGGTCGAAATTGGGGGAATTCGTTAAGAATTACCCTCAGGTTTTGCATGCGAGTGTGGTTGTGGAGCTTGCTCCTGTGGTGAAATTTCTTCGTGGGCTCGATGTGGAGAAGCAGGATTTAGGTTATGTCCTGCAGAAGTATCCCGAATTGCTAGGTTTTAAGCTCGAAGGCACAATGAGCACTTCCGTTGCATATTTGGTTAGCATCGGTGTGAGCCCGAGGGACATTGGTCCAATGGTGACTCAGTATCCTTATCTTCTGGGAATGAGAGTTGGAACAATGATCAAACCTCTTGTAGATTACCTCATTTCCATTGGTTTGCCTAAAAAGATTGTGGCCCGGATGTTAGAGAAGATATGGGTAACGCCGGGGAGATCTGAATCGTCATGTACAATAACTGATTTCGAATTTTCGAATATCTGACAGATACTCAAAAATTCGGGTGCCCGAATAATGAACACCAAGTATGATCATCTATTACCTCTTCTTTTTTTGGTAAGGAAAGATCAATCAAGCTTCATAAAGAAGCAAATAGAGATCCCACTACATGAGAAGAGCAAAACCTAGAAGAACAGCAATTGAAGGAAGAGACTTTAAGAAAAGCCAAAACCATGAGGCTGAGGAGAGAGAAATTTGTAGCGAGCATATTCATAGTCCTTTCAGACAGAAACCGAGAAATCCAACATGCGTGCCAGATATGGAAACAAACACTGCGCACCGGTACACATGAGAAAACCCGAACCAGACAAAGGGCAACGATAACTTATAAAAAGGTCGATATATAAGAGAGGATGAGTACATAATTTTTTGGCTGCTCGAAACAATTGCGTTGTTCCTCACTCCTCCGAAGCACTGGCTGCGCTCAGATCCACACTTAGGTCCAGTACCTGCCAAAAGCAACACCATTCATACCATCTGTTTCCAACTACCTATCTACCTTCTTGTTTATCTTAACGATTTCTGTCGATGCAAGTAGAAGAAGCACTTGCCACTTTGTGATGCAGATTGCGTATACATAGATGGTGATATGTATATATTTATAGGAATCCGGAATTCAATTGACAGAAGTATATATATTGTCAGAAGGTGGCTTACCTTTCCGGTGATGAGGGTATACATGTTCAACACATCTACTACGGTTGTCTCAAAGTGTGTTGTGGCATCATAACTCTGTTAGGACAACATAATAATGACTTAGCAGCCAGGCAGGCGACTCGAACAGAAGAAAAATTAAACAGATAGGTAAATAGCTTGGATAGTGTGCGTCGGAAACTCACCGTTGAGATAAAGCAGTTGTCCAAGGAGGGCTCATTGACAGGCTCGTATCTGTCATATATGTCAAAGAATATCTCGTCAACAGGACCCAGAAGATCAACTCCAGGCTTGAGTTCGGTTTGAGGGTTATCTGTCTCTGCATCTGTTGACACAAATGCGATGAATTTTCCTTTGGGAGCAACGTTGTGTGAATACGAACAGCAGAAGACATACCTGTCAGAGTATAAAGTATAAACGCTCTCGTTCACTTTCACTCATTTCTTACTCGTTAGAACACAAAAAAAGGTAAAACATAACAGATCTTACATGTCTGATTTTCGACCCAACTGCTTCTGGGGAAGGATGATCTGCACTGAATGAGAGTCATTGGTGTTTGGGATAGGGTGGCTCATTATGGCAATCGCCCTCGCAACTCTACCAATCTTCCGGACCTGTTTGCAATAAGATTTTTTACCACGTCATGAAATGCTCTACATCCACACATAACGGACAACAAAATAAAGTGGGTAAATCACTAAGCCACGTTCTTTTGAACAAACCAAAAAAAAATCAGAGAAAAACTAGATATGTCTATATGTATCTGCCAATTTTAAAGTTAATAGAATTAACTATGCGTATTAGCTTAATACGCCTAGAGCACCAACCATGCATAAAGATAGGGACTGTTACAGATGTCATACATAAAATATGTTCACTATACAGCTCCCGGCTGTCATGGAGAAGAACAAGGGACATCTAAAATGTCATTGAAGGCATATTACAATTCTTGTGTTACCTTGTTAGGCAGGTAGGAAGGATCACAGACAACTTTCTTGCACTTGGCAGTCTCTCCCTCTGATGTAACACCGACAACCTTACCTTCCTCATCAAACTCTACCTGATACAAGAGTAAAATGTCCACATCAAATATCAGACAGGCATACAAGAAGACATGGATCGCCCCCTCTGCCACCAAAGGAACGTCAAAAACAAATGCCACAAAGATTAGGAAGAAAAAGACAGACCTTGCACTCAGGTTTATTCAACATATATGTTCCACCATAGACAGCACTAAGTCGTGCAAATGCCTGAAACATAATCAGAAGAAAAAAAAATGTTAAAAGAGAAACCAGAAATCGTATTCCAAAACATCAGAACACTAACGCCAGCCCCATAATGCATAGACCAAAAAGACACAAACAGAAACCTGAGGCAGTTCTCCTAGCCCATAGAGAGGATAGATATATGGTGAACTTCCCTGGAAACGTGCAAGGGACTCCGAGTAAAGCTAGATCATTAAAAACAGGAGTGTCAGAATACGCAGGTTCTGAACAAGATATGAAAGCTTTAGAACAAGGGGAACAAGATCTAGAGCCCCTAAAGAGCAGTTCACCTTCATCCTCATCACAGTATCAATGGCAGGTTGACTGAGATAACGGTCATCCAGGTGAAGTGCCACTGCATGACCAATAAAGTCAATAGTGTTGTCATCAAGACCAAATTTCCTGTCAAAGTGATATACTAGGTCAGCCATTGATACTCCTAACTGAATGTCAACAAAACCATAATGCTGGAAGGCATAACAACATCAGCTTACGAGATCAATTCCTTTGTTGTGACTCTGTTCAAATCCATTCCATCATGTGTTTTCGGGTTCGTTTCATCGTAATCCTGAACATAACTGAAAAATTTTCCAGCCCGACGTTTCTCAAAAATACCCATCAGAGGAGATTTCAGAGCCTCCATAGGAGTAGCCGGCACCTTGTGAGTCTGTAGAATAATTAATCGGTGATTAAAGAGATACAATGAAAACGGATGAGATTGCAAAAACCCGCAACCAGCATGTCAGTGAGAAGTCTGTACCTTTCCTTTGTTGAAAACATAGCTGCCATCGACAGCTTTAAAGGACAAGTACTTTGTAACATCTGTATGAATAAGGACACGGACAAGCTTCCCATTTCCCATCATAAACTGGCCCACCATATCAAGAGACAGTAGTTAGGGGATGGGTTCAGTACATCAAAAAGGGGAGACCGGATAGAATCCACATGTATCGTACCTTGGGCATCATGTCAACATTGTAGTCCCTGCTTGCACCTAAATGGGCAGGAGCCTTGTCTTCTCCTCTGAACTTCTTCCAAAGCTGCGAAAGGAAAAACGCCAACAGTGTTCATGGAATTAAAAAAGAAAAAGAAAAGAGCAAAAGATCATTCAAAAGTTTTGGGAGATAAGAACCTGATTGAGATTAAGTGATGTAGACTCTCCACCATAGTAGTCATTCCTGTCCATGTGAAGCACCTGTTTGAAATGAAACATAGGACGAATTACATCATCAATCGAGCAATGAGCAACTATGACACTTCTGCGCTACTTGTTTACCACTGCGAGATCAAAGTAACTTCCTGACAGTAGCATCACATGATTGCTCAAACACATTGCTAACAACTCTAAATTTATGCGTGAAGTCATTCCAGTACATTCACAAAATCTAATGCATCCAAAAAAAACTTGTATGAAGAATCGGAGACCCGATGAAATGGTTTAATGGGACAACTGGAACCCTAAAGCAACCACGTGAAAATTAACTCAACATGAAAGAAAAATAAAACATGAACTCGTCTTCATATAACATGCGTTTTTTGACATCCTCCAGGTCAGACGCATATCTGATCTTACTAACAAATCATCCCTATCCAGATCGAAGCCACGAGCCCAGATCACGCAACCGGAGATCTAATCTCCACCGAGATCCGTATATTACATACAAAAACGAAATTGAATTCCGATATCGGATCAGACAATAAGCAGCATAATTCTAGCACGAAATCACAAGATCTACGAACAAAATCCAAACGAAAAATCGAGTAAAAAAAAAGAGGATCGGAACCTTGAGACCATCGACGGAGAGGAGTCCACTAAGGATGCATTCCTTGAGACCTGTTCCGAGAACAATAACATCGTACTCTTCATCCATGGCTGATCTCGAGAAGGATAACAGAAAGAAACCTCAGAGGGGGAGAGACGAAGAAGGAGACTTAGCGAGGAGATCGTGGCGAGGTCGAGAGGCCTAAATATAGATCAGAGAAGAAACAAAGATGCCTTGTTTGTAAAATGGGTAATGCTGTCACATGATTAATTTAAATTAATTCCTTTTAATTAATCAGTGCCTGTTTAGTTGGGCCGATTGAAACTTTAACATATATTGGGCCGTATAATTTATTACCCAACAAGGCCCATATGCCTATTCATCAAATTTAATGAAAATACAATTATATATTTATATATAATTTAGTTGGGCGAGATACAATTTTTGTTGGTATTCTAGAGTAAACGGTTGATTGGTTTTTAAATCTCTTATGAGATTCATTATGCACATATATTAGAGTATGGTGGAAGAGCAAAATACTTGTAAAATACGTGTCGTGAATTGGTTTAAAGTATTAGGATTTGTCGGAAAATGTTACGTCAGGTTTAGAACGTGAAAAGTAATCTCAGAAAAAATGGAAGGGCAATTCGAAAATATGGATGGACATCCTATTTTTTCTAAGGGATAAAGTTTGAATAAATGAGCGGTAACCCTAATAAACGGACGGGTAGCTCATTTTATCTGAGCGACCGTTTGAGCGAAAAGTAGTGACCGGTCGACGAAAACTTCCGAGTTTTCATATCTTTTCGATGTTTTGGTATTTATAAACACATCAGAGGCAATATAATACGAACGATGACACAAAAACACGGATTTTTAACAAGATCAAAGAGATTTTGAGTGTTATCTTACATATATCAAGGGTTCTTTGTTTTCTTCAACAGTTTCTATTTGATGATTATCGGAAGGGTAAACCGAAATCATTGATCTCAAAAGTGTATTCCTATAATCTCATTTACCCGATAGGGATGGAATAACGCTTTTAGAAAAGTGTTCGTCACGCCTTAAAGTCATATTTATTCCCTACTGTTTCATACATGTTTTGATAGGTTGAAGACAGGATTATCGGATCAGATCGAAGTCGTCATCTTAACCGGGTATGTATACATGTTTTTCATATTATTGTTTTTTCTCTACCAATTTTCTACCAATTTTCTTATTTTCCATGGGCATATATAATTTCGAATGAAATATTAAAACATATATTCATTCATTTTTCTTGAGAAAACTAATTAATTTCCTTGACGTTGAATCGTTTTAATACCTAGCAGCATGGTATGCCATGTCGGTCTTAAAATTGACAGAACGCCGTTTATGGATGTGGGAAAATTGCAACACATTTTAAGATTTTGTATGAAATTTTGGAAATATTTAAAATCCGGTGTAATTTATTGTCAAATAAAAAATTAGTATAGAAAATTGGAATATTTTCGTAAATTTGTGGGAGAATATGAGATTTTTCCAAATTTATTTGTCTTGTCGGATCTATCCATATGAAAAAAATAAAAAGCAGCATTTTAATAAAAAATATTAGTACGTTAATATTTGAAACTCGATTTCATTTCAAACACATTTATTTTTATTACATAATTTTTGTATATTTCATTAGAAATTTACCGGAATTGTTAAATGAAGGATAATATGATATTAGTCGGTCCATGCATATGGCGTTGGATGATTATTGACCGCAGACTAGTTGTTCGAGTCTCTTCAAAGACCTATTCGTTCAATAAAAAGCCACTCCATGAAAAAGTTGTCTACCATCTCCGAATAAAACTGCAAGAAAATATATTATAATATATGAAATAAACTTCAATAAATCACACAAAAAAATTCAATTTATAGTGGATATTATCGTAGTTTATATCAGAAAATTATACAAGGATGAGGAATGACACAATTACTTTACCAAATGGATTAATTCCGTTATTTTTTTATATTTTATGATAGAAAACAGTAACGTACGTATGTATGTATGTATGAATGTATGTATGTATGAGCAAAAATACTTCATTTTTTTTTTAGTTAAAAAACCCTAAACAAGATCAGACCCCTTTTTTTTTACAGATAGGAGAAAGTTGCAGCTTTGGCGTTAGAAGAAGGCATGAAGGCGAGGATCATGAGGACAGCCAAAATCCCAATGGGAACCAGAAGTAGCATAAACGGCGGCGGAGGCAACGGCGGTAGAATCAACGGAAGAATCAGCAGCGACGCCGTCAAACCCACCAGCAGAACCAAAGACTCCAGGCTGAAGTAGCTCGCCGGAATCAGCCTTCTCGGGCTGTTCTGCGCCGACAATGTTCCCCGGATCTCGTGCTTTGCCGCCGTCTTCTCCATCGGCGGTGGTCGGAAGCTGATGTTTCTGTTGCTGTCTCTTCGTACGTCCATTATGGTGCCCGAACAACGATCTTGGATGTTTATGGTGTCTTTTCGTACGCCGGAGATTTCGCGAATCATCTACGAGGGCTTTGGGTATGTGATCAAGCAATTCAGATTACGCGAATCGGATTTCTGGTCGAAGAACTGAGATACCCAGATGCAAAAGCAACGAGCTTTCCCGTCAATGCAGCTTGATCCAAGCACTCTGGTGATGAATTCGTTTTGATACCAATGAACTTTGAACCGATTCGTGATAACCCAATTTCCTGAAACGAGTCCAGAGACCGAGTGCAAGAGAAAACCCGAGTTCTGAAACGAGGTAACTCGGCGAAATCAGACTGAAACACCGAGTAAGAGAATCTCGGATAGTCGGAGACGCTTCGATCGGACGAACAGTAAGAGATGAACCGAAACTGCAGGAGAAATTTCATCTTTCTGATTCAGTAAACTGTACGGATGATTCATAGATATAACAGAGAATTCATTCACATGCACAATTCATAAAAAAAAACCAAAAAGAGATCAACTTTGTTTTCCAGCAAATGATAATCCAAGAATTCGGATACAAATCTGTAAAAATACAAAACCCATTAACCGTTTCGTCATCAACATCTGCTGGGTTCTGGTTTTAGATATAAAGCAACATCAGGCAACAAACCAAGCGAATATACGCAAAACACCCAAAAAAAACTCTTTTTTTTTAAGATTTCAATAAGATTCAGGCTAATACCTCAAGAGTCGGGAGGCAAACCCGTTTGATGAAACCCGGCGACGAGATGATGAGGAAGAAGAAGAATAATCGTACAAAAGGCGAAATCTGAGCTATAAATCCAGAAAAATCAGAGAGAGGAGAAGAAGGGGGGGGGGCTTGAAGTTTCAACCTTTCCTTCAAAACGAGGGATGATTTGTTGGGTCGATAAGAATAATGAGGAACCGAACCAAGTAGCAGCAACGAGATAAATATAAAAATGCTTTGAGAGACGAAGCAGGAAAGAGGGGAGGGTTCAGTGAATTTAGAAAAATAAATAAATAAATAAAAATTCAAAATTTAAAAAACTGTGTAGAAGAAGGAAAGAAAAAGGATGCCTTTTTTCCTTGGGCTGACAAATGTGATTATCAAGTTGCCGGTTTTGGGAAATTTTTTTATTTTTGGAAAAAAAAATAAGCATTTCGCGTTCTGTGTCCCCCCTTCCCCACAAGGTTCTCCCCCCCTGGACTCTCTCTCTCTATCTCGACGTGGTGAAATGAAACGCAGGCTAACCCTCTGACGGATACCGAAGTTTCTCACTTTGATTTTTTTTTGGGTGGGGATGGTTAATGTTGACCCGTATTTAATATTAATGAAATTCATCCATACAAGGAAAAATTGTACTTTTTCGATATCAATAATCCACAGGTGTCATTAAATAAGAGTGTTTCCTCCTGGTAATTATTTTTAAAATTATTGTATTGAAATATCGTATAGGTCCTTTCTTTTATTATTATTATATATATATATATATATTGGCCCTAAATTTCATATAATTCCCAATAGATATGATTATGATTAAAAAAATAGAGTTAGAAACTTAGAAAGGACCTCGAATAAAAATTGTGAGAAATGATTATATCGTTGAAATAAATGAATCGAGGGCTTGGAGCTAATTCTGACAGAGTTTGTGTGGTATTTATTATTTAGTTATATTAGATATATTCAATTCAATGTTCAACGAATTAATGAATACAAGGGTTTTGCAAAGTTTTCAACTTTATAATAATAATAATTATAATTTCTGCGTTTCTCCGGACCCATGTTGTTATTCTTCTCCACGGCATTTTCATGTGGTGGCTGTGTTGCCCTTGTTGGAATGTTGGGTCACTTTTATGTTATCAATCTCATAATTTATTTTAAAAAAAATAAAATAAAATAACAATAATAATGATTTCTACATTTTTTTTCTTGTTCAGCTTTCCAAATTTATAGAGTTTTATTCAGATTATAATTTTTTATAATAAGATCTTTCAAAAATATTTAATGGAAAGTGGAATAATTCTAAAAAAAAAGGAATTATTGATAGGAAGCATTATCAAAAATATCATCTTTTGCTATTTTAATTAACACATACATTTTTTTCAAATGTGATTATATAATCCATACGATTAGAAATATAATCTGGTCATAACGTGTAATTTATAATATTTTTATCAAATGATTAGTAAGATATGTAAGAGATGAACATAATGAATTAGTGTGATCACTATAAATTTAACGTTATGACTAATAAGATCAATATGTGATCATACTATATTTCTGGTCATATGAATCACAAGGTTACGGTTGAAGAAATGTATGTATTGAAATCAAAATAACAAAAAGAGTATTTTTGATATAATGGCTGATAGGTATTGTTATGTATTTTTATTATATACTTTTTTTTCATGATTTTTGGCTCGGGCCATGCGGTTTACGTGCGTACGTCGAGTAGCTTTTGGTATGATACATAAATTGATAGATAGTGGTTTTGATAGGGAATTGATAGGTTACCAAATTCAACACTAATCACATAGCCAAATGCAATGTATGAGATTAAATTAGGTCTAATCCACGACAAAAACAGTTCAACAAAGTAGTAATTAGTGAATTAAAAACTAATGAAATATTTTCCATGGATGACGTCGACTGACGTAAACATCATCCGTATGCCCGGGCGCGTAATTATTTATAATCAAGTATGCCAAAATTAATATATTCAAATATAAATATTTATTGGTTTAATGAAAAGTTGAAATCATACATGTTAATAGATAAAATCAGCTCATTATATACATATATAAAGGAAATACAACAGATAGAAAAATCAAAACTATTTCTTTTACATTTTTTTTTATAGTTTTACTAGCATTTATATAATCAAAATGTATAGCTTAAAAAATATAACCAATAATATAATTTCTAATTATTCTTTTAGTAAATTAAATTATAGGTTTGAGTTTTGTAGTGTATATGGGTTAAAACTTAAAATTAATAAGCGAATATGATATAAAAATAACAACAAAAAAAAAATAGAAAGGCAAAGCTTTATATACATGTCTGTGTATAGATGGCAGTCCATACATTGATTTGCCTTGGACATGACAAATCCTTCCATAGATTACATGCCTAGTGGACCTTTAACATTATTCAAGAAAATAGAATATCATGCATACATATACATATACATATATATACATATAAAGATGTATATATATATGATAGATTCGTAGATACACACATACACACGCATATACATAGACATGAGGCATCGTGCATAGTATCATAATTAATACGCATAACATGCATTATTTATTTATGGCAACAAGGTCGGTCCATATGACACAATCTCATCACGTCTTCGAATAATAATAACCGGCGTACCCAAATTCCAACATAGCATTATAAGATTATCCCAATAATTTCGATGATACATTAATATATGTGTATAAAATAAAATAAATAGAGGGGCTTTTGCAGTTAGGAGGAGAAAGGGCACATGTCATGTCACGTGGCCATTTCCCTTCGACCCAATGCATGTCTCCGTCTCCTTCAACTTGCCTTATTAATATTCCTCGTACAACTCCAATCCCCCCCCCCCCCCGGTTCTTCTTATTCTTTTTTTTTTTCCATTTGAATTTAGTAATCTCGCATCTAATCTAAAAAAGTTTTAAAAAATATATTTGTATATATTAACATGGTTTTTTGGTAAATAAATATATATATATATATATACATGTTGCTAGCTCTACGTATATTACACTTCAAATATAAATCATTTTGTAATCAATGAGCGCGTCTAAGTTTTAGGAGTCATGTGATCTATATATACATCATACACCGATTACATGGATTGAAATAAAATTATGATACCATTTCGAATAAAAAAAAGAAATTTCATCGAATTAAATTTAAAAATTATTGGTGAAATCGAAAAACAAATGGAACTAAAAAAGAAATATTTTCTAAGCATAAATATTTTTTTAATGCAAAATGAATTTTAATTGACATTTATAAAAAAGTAAATGGATATAATATTTTAAGATAGAAAATATCAAAACCGAAAAAAATAAGTAAATAAAATATCAAACTTAAATCCAAAAACCCTACCGACAGTTTCTCGTTTTGCACTAATTTTAATTTCGAGACCGGGAAATATTGACATAACCTTTTCCCCTAGATTCCAAAATTAATGTAGCACAAGATAGAGAGAAAAAAAAACCACCTCCTCGTAATTCCGACGAAGGCAAACACGGTCCTAAAAGGGAAATGACCGATGGGCCTAAAAAAATGCATGCATCTGCGAGGGTGAGGATGTATGGGAACAACATGCATGCATATGCATATGCATGCATGTGTCCAATTCAAACACCATCTCTCATGATTCAATTTAAAACATGACATATATACATCTTTTCCCTAAGCTTTTGTGTGAAGTGCAGAGGTTGAAATTTCACGCATCTAAGAAAATATCTAGTATTAGGGGTGGATGTAGCTACTTGAGACTCGTAAATTTTCGGATATCCTGGGGTTCGCCCCATGTCAGTTGGTTGTGAGCATGGGGAGCACCCATGAGGTGGGGAGTTCGATTCCTCGCCGTCTCACTTCCTCTGACCTGCTCGCCTGCCAGTATGTCATAACGGGCTGATTTACCTCCTACGCGTGTGTTGCAGGTTCGTGCGCGTGGACTTGGGGTTTGACCCGCAGGCGTCTAAACCCAACTACGACCCGAGCGTTAGGCGCGTCTGGTGGCCATGTCTGCGGTGGACCGTTAGGCGCGGGTGGTGGCCAGTTCGTCTCCGTTTATAAGGGAAGGTAGTCACGGGGGTTTCCAATGTTATAAAAAAAAATTCGGATATCCGTTTTTATATGTATTCAAAATACGAATATTCGCTATATAAAAAAATTGAAAACAGGTGCGATGAGGCCAAAATTTTGGATTTTTTTCTTAACGACGATGGATGCTTTCGATACCTGAATATGAGTAATATGACATTTATATTCTTGATAATTTATTGTATTTATAATAATAACTAAACATATTTTCAAATAAAATTACTAAAATATTTTTTAAATCAACAAAAATCAACGTTTTTTTTTAAATTTTGGTGGGTTCATATATCTTCGGGTGATTGAATTTGGTGACGGGTATTCAGACCACGCGTATCTGGATTCTACAAAAAAGAAAATGGGATATAGATTTCTTAAAATTCTTGAGGACGAAATCAAAACTTTTAAAAATCAGGATATACTCACACCCGTGTCCGTGTCGACCCTTATTCGACATACGAATAAAGTTTAACACAATGAGTGATTCATTCCAAAAACTTTGTAAGGGCACATATAATACACCCGCATATATGTATGTGTATTGTATATGTATTTACGTAGTTTCTAGAAGATGATTATTACGTTGAGACTAGGAGAGGGCCAACTTTAGCTTCAGGCTCTCCAATAATGAAAATCTTCTGTTGTAGTTCTCTACTCCACGTAAGCATCCAATTTTCGAAACAATAACTGAATCTAATTACAGGTTGTGTGTGCGCGTGTTTGGGTGATGATGATACATCGTGTCATCATGTCATGTCATGTCATGCCATGGATCTGTCTTTACGATGGTATTGGTTTTCGATGGATCTAGAAGCAAAACCCAATGGATCCCCCCACTAAGCATATATCGCATAAGAACCAAATTCACCAATACGAAATTTAATGTGAACGTCAAACCAAAAAAAAAAAAAAAAAAAAAAATTAATGTGAACGCAAACTGTGAGATCTGCATCTTAATTAGAACATTGCCTTTTCCACGTGATTTTTGTAATTAAGAGCATTCTTATATTTTTTAATACCTTTTAAACCGAAATAAACGAATCGTACCGAAATAAAAAATCGAAATGACAAATCCTAATTAACATTAGCTATTTAAATTGTTTTTTCAACCTGTAGTATTTTGATATATTTCTTGTTATATTGATTTTGTACTTTGAGATCAAATAAATTTTGTATTTTTTTAACCACTTTCTCATTTATATAATATTTTTTAAATCTCAGAATTAGTATAAATTCCATCCAATATTCGGTTATAAACCGAGACATGAAATTCCGAAAGCATAATGCTTTGTGCATCCACGTGAAGGATCACGTGATCAAATACGCAAAGGCATGAACATTTTAACTGGGCTTGGGCTTGGGCTCGGGCTCGGGCTTGATAAAAAAGCAAAAATCCAAAATAACTGTTTGGAAATTCTGGTAACAACACAAATTACAGATAAGTCCTCCAGGTAAAAATAAAGTATTAACGATCGGAAGTTTTTCTTCCAAGGAACTAATCCAACTTATCATAATGATCTGACTCGCCCATAATCCCACATCGGTCATTCCACCATTCTCTTTCTCTACTCCTGCAAAAAAAAAAAAAAAAAGTCAATGACAGTGAAGATTATCCTAAACTATGACATATGGTTATATAAACTTGTTGTAAGCACAAGAGTTCGGTCGGTTCATATAATTTTACCTCGTCGTCGTCGTCGTCATCTTCCTTCTTGAGACGGGTCGTACCGCCTTCCTTGACAATGGGAAGCTTCATGGCTCCAAACGGCGTGTCCACATTGACGTTACCTTTCACAGTGTAACCTGTTCCTCTCCCTCGGATCATGTCCCATAGCGCGGAACCAAAGTCCTTTGGTCGGAAAGTTATGGGCACGTCTATGTATCCGAACCCATTCTTCTCGATCTTCGTCGATTCCGACACTTCAGCTCCTCCGATGCTCACTTCCGACAACCAGATCTCGCAGTCCAAGTCGTTGATCCCCAAGTCAAAGTCGTTCATGTTTTCCAGTTTCATGTGGAGAACAGCTACCGTCTCCTCGAACGAGAATTTCTGGAACTTGATCTTCTCGAGGTCGATGTCGGGTTTGTGGGGAATAGGGATCTCTCCCTCCTTCTCCAGGGGCAATGTCAGTCTTCCCAACACGGGCACGTCCACTATCAGATCGACCTTGATCCTGTACGGTATGATCATCCCGGGTTTGATGTCAGCATAAGTGCTCTTGATGTCGTCATAGATCAGTGTCAATGGTATTTTGACGGTCTCTTCCCCATGAGGCTTGATGGTTCCGGCGTCAGGGATCAAACCCGACACCAGTTTCCTCCCGTCGCTCTCGATCAGGTAGTTTATATCGATCAGAGGGATGGGGATCGGGTTCGGATTCTTCACGAGCACATCGACAACCACGTCTGCCCTCTCGAGGTTGATCTTAGGGAGGTGAATAGCGGTTACATCAGCGGTTGGTTTCCCGAACCCGATCGTTTCCTCGATCTTCTCACCAATGTCATGGATGAAATCTTTCACCTTGTCGATAAATCCGCCCTTCCCTTCTTCCTTCTCCTCCTCCTCCTTGTGACCCCTCTTGACAACATCCGGTTTATCAGATGACGCCATATCTACGCAGCAACTGTAACTGAAAGTGAAACTCAGAATGACATTAGAACAGAAACACAAAAAGACAACACGAACGACAACTAATGAAATCAAACAAATACAATAATCGTAGTGTTTCACCAACTACACCATTATATCTAATCACCCAGATCTTCACGGAGACAGGAAAATCTAAGAGTTTGATCGAAAAGACAGACTGAACCGACCAAACTTCAGATCAAACATAGACTTCCTCTGCAACGAAATGAGAACGATCGGTGACAAAGCCTTCGACACAAACGCCAAGAGAAAGAAATGCAGACCGGAAACTCCGATCTAAACCGTAAAACCGGATCAGGTGAAGTTACGGACAGATCGGTCTCAATCAACCAGCTCGAGAAAGAAGACCAACTCGATCAGATCGCATCACTCGTTTTCCACTCTCCGAACGGATCAAGACAAGAATTTTGCTACTTACTCGGAAACAGGATCAAAGTGGAAGAACAACGGTCAGAAGAAATCAAGAGAAATTGAATTACCTGGAGACTTGGACGAAGAACAATCAGAGACAGAGAGAGAGAGACGCTTGAAGAACAGAACGAAATTTTTTGTGGTTATATCATCGTTAACTAAAAACTAAAAACTAAAAAAAAAAGAAAAAAAAAAGAGACGAGACGCGTAATTGTCGCATGCCGACAAAATTTCATCGGACAGCCTATCCGTGTGAGCTCCTTGTTGGCCCATTTGATTATCCCCCATTGGCCCACTAAGGGTTTAAAAAAGACATTTATTACTTCTTCAACCCTCGAATTTCAAGAAATATAATAAAAAAGGAGTAAACTTCTGTTTGGTGTCTAAAACCCCCCGCTTTACATGGTTACAGGGATCCGAAAGGATCCAACTTTGAACACAGAGCTCGTGAAGACACCTCCCCCAATGCTTGTACTCAGAAGAATTGCAGGGGAAGAAGTGAAACAAAAATAAGAGAACCTCGAGGAGGTATGAGTGTGGCGATTGTCACAATGCGAGAAGGAAACACAATTGTTGCATGACAAGTTTGATTGATACCGAAGGGGTAAGCCGAGAAAGCAGACTATTTCCGTTGTCCACGACGCAGCAGCTATTTCAGGTGGTGCTCAAACAAGGACGCCATCTCGATCTAACAAAAGGCAAGATAAGGTCAAGTTCAGTTTTACCAAGGCGAAAGGATATTACGAGACGTTCCCAAAGAACCCCTGTATTCATTCTTTCCAAGGAATCGCTGAACTTCCCTAATGTAATCAAGAGGTCTACTAAACCGGTAAAGAGTGGTGGAAGGAAACTAGGGAAGATTTGGTGGTCACTTACGGCAGTCAAAGCAGCTTCAGCACCCTTATTCCCGGCTTTGCCACCAGCTCGGTTCAGAGCCTAGATTTTCAAGTAAAAACAATATTAAGTTCGAGAGAAAAAGACGGGCCAAAATGAAGCTACAAAATCCAAACTTGCATTTAGCAACTTCACCTGGTCCATGTCCTCGCATGTAAGTACACCAAATATGCATGGAACACCTGCATTTTGGGAAGAGAGGCTTAAATGCTTAGGCAAGACTCATCTAATTGCAAGAGTTGAAAACAAGATTGGTGAGTGAATAGCTAATGCGGAGACACAAACTAATAAGAAAACCTGCAATGGTTACCGGACCGATAAATTATGTCTATGAGAGGGGACGACGGTAATATGGAGACTGATAAAAATCTTTCACCATGGTCTTGTTTCCGCAACAAGGTTAAAATCGGGTGACTTTTAAATGTCACGTGCTGCAATGCAAGCAGGAACAAAAGGATAATCAATAATAACCTGAATTTATGCCAGCAGAAAGAACTCCAGATGCAGCGGAGTTGGCAACTGCATCATAGTGGGTAGTGTCGCCTCTTATCTAGACATAACAAGAACTGCTATCCATCAAAATTCAAACTAAAAGCAATTACAACACCACTAGGCAGAAGCAGCTTTAAGCAGTGATCTTGAGAAAATCCGATTTGGATGTGTTCTGATTCAGAACTTCTGAAGAAATGTTTAAAGCAGGAAAAAATTACCACAGCTCCAATACACAACACGGCATGATATTTTCCCGACTTCCCGAGCCTCTGGGCCACGACCCCTATTTCGAAGCTACCAGGAACCCACACAACCTGATTCAAGAGAACATATCAGCTTCATTTGCATTGTAGAAACTATTTATGGATATGCATTTCTTCTGCCAATGGTGATTGATTTTGCAAAAAGATTTACAGACACGACACTTACGTCTACATCTTCTTCTCTGACTGAATACTTCCTGAAGGTCTCAAGTGCTCCCTCCAAAAGCAGCTTCGTCACAACCTCATTGAAACGAGCTACGACCTTCGAAAACATACGACAAAGTGAAAACTAGGCAACAACAACAAAATCCAACCTTTCAATTTAGATTCGATCAAACAGGAAGTGGGCAAACCAGAATCAGTCAGAAACAGGGAATACAAATCTATTTCTATATGTATCATTGAGAAAAGCCATGAAAACCAATGAAGCAAACGGTTGCTTTATACTCACAAGTCTGCTCAAGCCTGTTGTCACTTTCTTAACCTACGAGGCAAAGGCAATTATTGAACAAAAAGAATATGGGGATTGCATGAAAACGCACCACAGCGAATCTAAGACCTTCGCCTTTGGTAAGAGACCCAGTGAGCTGGCGAACAGCCGCCGTTGGCACGAACGATGCACGTACCCCCTTCTCAACAGCAATTGGGGAAGAAAACCCTAGAATCAACTCAGCATTTAGAATCAAAGTACGACGAATCCCAGGGAACGAAAGCGATTGAGCCATTAGACAATTAACGAAAAGCAGCACACCAGACACGGATGAGGAGAACGAGAGGCCGTTGGGTTTGTTTACATGTGGATCGCCGCGAAAATTTGAGGCGGAGCTAGAATGACGGTTGAGGAACTGACGGCGCACCGTCGGCGTTAGGCGGAGACTCGGCGGCGAAGCTAAAGATTCCATTTTTCGCCGGAGAGAGTTTGCACGAGTGAAGATTGGAACTCGGGAGGAGAGTTTCAGTTAACCTCTACCTCCGGCAGAAGCTTTCACTTGATCTTGCCCAGTCGAAAGACACTAATTCGCTTAGAGGCTTCTTGTCTTCTGTCTTGCCAATTTTAAGGAAAAAATAAAATAAAATAAAATACCAGGCGGAAAAAGTGAAAACCCTAAAATCCAACCGTTTCGCCAGCCGGCTATTCCAGACAGAGCTTTAAGACCTTGTCGGTCGTAAGGGCAAACCTTTCGTCGCTCGGAGGAACTCGGACCAAGTAGAACCCTTGGATCAGGAAAAAAAATGGCGGCGAATGGGTAAGCATTTCGAAATTGAGGTCAGTCGAATGAGAAGATCTTACCATAGTTTGCTGATGATACATGGTTTTTTTTAATCACAGGCTAATGGCGTCGTCCAGTGTGCTTCTTCATGTACCAGGAAACCCACGTTTGTCGTTTTCTGCTAAAACATATCCAATGGCAAGAATCGGCAGTAATGGCAGTGTCAGGTTTGTCGGCAACCGGACACGTTCTCTTCCGGTGGTTTTGTCCATGTCCTCGACCGGTGCTGTTGAAGAGGCGAGCAAGCCCATTTCTCCTGGAAGCGGTATCTCCATAATGGTATTTTTGGCAACGATTTTGCGGTTGAATCGTCGTGAATTCATGCTGGTTTGACCATTTTTCTGTATTTGCTGAGTTGTGCAAGTGTTGCTTGATCATTCGATTATTTTTTAAGAGATTTCAGAATTGCGAGTTTTCGCATTGCATTTCCTTGATAGTTTGTGACATGATAGTATTTTGCTGGAGGTACATGGAATCATAGAAGTGTAGATTGTCTTGTTGTGTTCTTGATCCAAGCTGGTGACTTTTCTTCAAATCAGTCTTCTGGGTCAAGTTATATTCTACAAGATCATTCAAAAACATGGTTCCCATCAGGAAATGCTGGTGATTGGATTTAGCAGTTCATGTTTCTCCCATATGCTGCAGGTAAATGGTTGCAGTGGTAAGATGGGGAAGGCTGTCATCAAAGCAGCAGATTCTGCGGGAGTGAATATAGTTCCTACATCATTTGGATCTGCTGAGGAAGCTGGCAAGATCTTTAATGTCTGTGGAAAGGAGATTCTTGTGCATGGTCCAAGCGAAAGAGAAAAGGTTCTTGCATCCGTGTTTGAGAAGTATCCAGACCTGATTGTTGTTGATTATACCATTCCATCTGCTGTAAATGGTACCTTCCTATCATCTCCTAGATCATGTACATCATTAAGGTTCCGTTAGAAATGATGCATTCATTAAATTGTGCTTAAAATCTGGTTGTAGGAATGATCGTTCACTCAGAAAATTTCATCGACAACCCAATTCTAATGTTCCACTATCAGCTGCTTGATAGGATTTGTTTGTCCAATATTAGTTGATTTTGAGGTGGAGTTTTTGCAAAATGTAGATAATGCAGAGCTGTATTCAAAAGTAGGAGTGCCGTTTGTAATGGGAACAACTGGTGGAGACAGGGACAAATTGTATAAGACTGTCGAGGACTCGAAGATTTACGCTGTCATATCCCCACAGATGGGTAAACAGGTACTTAATGTGACTGGTAAGTTCTATCATGCGTATAAATTAAGATCTCGTGTCTCATATATCTTTGCTTCATTGGTCCTCTAGGTTGTTGCATTTCTTGCGGCTATGGATATCATGGCAGAGCAGTTTCCTGGTGCCTTTTCTGGTTATTCCCTGAAGGTATATTTTTACTGCTCATTCCATTCCTCCCCATCCCACCAATGCACACTTCCGTGCGTGTCTGTGTATATATATGCATGTGCGTATAATGTATAATGTATATGTATATTTACATAAACATGAATGGAAATGTTTGAGATTTTTCAATTAAAAGGACTTTTTTCCTTTCTTAAGTGCATCTTACAAGGCAGCCGATCTATTTAGGTGATGGAGTCTCATCAATCAAGCAAATTGGATGCATCTGGTACTGCAAAAGCTGTCATTTCTTGCTTTCAGAAATTGGGTGTGTCTTACGACATGGATCAGGTGCGATCATCGTCCTTTTTTAGTTCTCTAAATTCCTACGAGGAATGAATGCTTTACTGCAGAACTGCTATGCTCTTGTCTTCTACGATCCATCTAGTCTCTCAGTACTATAACGATGTCTTGGTAAAACATGTCGTTCATCTTAGGTTATAATTGAGAAGAAGTGATCTTTATGACCAATAACATCCATTTGCTATTTTTCCATGTACCAGATAGAAATGATACGCGATCCTCAGCAGCAGATAGAAATGGTGGGTGTTCCAGAGGAGCATCTTTCTGGCCACGCTTTTCATCTGTATCACTTGACATCACCCGATGAGACGTAATGCAAGAATAAGTCTTCTTAATATTTCTCTTTCTCCGTTTCTTGTTGGAAAGCAATTTGTCCACAACAGAACTGGTTTTCGTCTTTCTCCTTCTTTGCAGTGTGTCCTTTGAGTTCCAGCACAATGTATGTGGCAGATCAATTTACGCAGAGGGCACAGTTGATGCGGTGCTCTTCCTCGCCAAGAAGGTACTAAATCTATCTCCCGAAACAATCTTATTATTCTCTGAAACCGAGATGTCAGCCAACCGTTGAGGTTATTAATCCATTGTCTGAGAAAGGGTAAACGTGTTCATGAACTGCAGATCAAGTCGAAAGCAGAAAAGCGGATCTATAATATGATCGATGTCTTGAGAGAGGGAAACATGCGCTGAACTCCAGTTTTTGTCCTGCCTGAGACAATTCCCCACCAGAGACTCAGTGTTTTGTTCCAAAATATGAAGCTTAAAGAGCCGAGAGACCACAGCATCGACTGCAACTTTTCACTGGGGAACACTCATCACTGCCGGCATGAAGACAGGCCTCTGAATTCGGACATGCATTTTAAAAAAGCTTAATGTAGGACGACCGGGCTTTGCTTTTAGTAGGATGCAAGAGATTTTTGGCCCAAAAAAAAAACAGAGAGAGAACTCTGTACTTGGGTTTGTACTCTCCTCCATGATGATCTTTCCCCTTCCATGTTATTTTCTTGCCTTGATGGTCGATCCTCACTGAGAAAAGAAATGCGTTTTGGACAAAGTATATCAAGGACTAGTGAGATTTTGCTTCATTATCTTATCAACTTCTATTCAGACCAAACATTATGATTTGATATGACAACATTCGTGTATTCTGAGGACGAAAACTCAGATTCCAGGTCATAATTCAGTCATATGGTTTCACTTCATAAGCTGCTGTTTTTGTTTAGTTTTATTTATATGCGACGATCACAATTTTGTATTTTCTGGAATTTTTTTTTATTATATGTATATATATATATATATTTTTTTTTATTGTCTTTTTTTTTTTTTTGTAGAACTAGGGCTCCTGTCCTGTCCTGTTCTGTGTGAACTGTGTTCTACGCGCTCCCGCAAAACCTTGCCACAGAACAAGAGTATATATCATTTCTGTTTCCCATTTGATTTTGCGTAGTCATAATCTCCGATTTTTTTTTTCTGGGTCCTCTCCAGTATGAGCTATCTTCTTCTCAGGAGAAGCAAGTTCATTGCTTTGAGCAGAAAACAGTGCTTAATCCTTCCGATTACTTCCCCGGAAACTAAAACCCTATCAAACCCAGTTCTCGAAATCCCTCGATTCCAAAACCCTTCTTCGATCTCCTGGATTGCTCAGTATGCAACGCAGTCGTCGAAGTTCCCAGAGTACGAAATGCCCACTGTCACTTGGGGCGTCATACAGGGAAAGAAAGAGAGGCTCATCAATCGCGTCAAAATCTGCGATTATCTCAAGGGATTGGGCATAATCACCGATGAATTGGAGAATATCGAGCTGCCTTCGACAATCGAGATCATGAGCGAGAGGGTGGAGTTCTTACAGAAGATAGGGCTGACGATAGACGACTTTAATGAGTACCCATTGATGCTTGGTTGCAGCGTGCGTAAGAACATAATCCCTGTCTTGGCTTACTTGGAGAAGATAGGAATCTCCAGGTCGAAATTGGGGGAATTCGTTAAGAATTACCCTCAGGTTTTGCATGCGAGTGTGGTTGTGGAGCTTGCTCCTGTGGTGAAATTTCTTCGTGGGCTCGATGTGGAGAAGCAGGATTTAGGTTATGTCCTGCAGAAGTATCCCGAATTGCTAGGTTTTAAGCTCGAAGGCACAATGAGCACTTCCGTTGCATATTTGGTTAGCATCGGTGTGAGCCCGAGGGACATTGGTCCAATGGTGACTCAGTATCCTTATCTTCTGGGAATGAGAGTTGGAACAATGATCAAACCTCTTGTAGATTACCTCATTTCCATTGGTTTGCCTAAAAAGATTGTGGCCCGGATGTTAGAGAAACGTGCGTACATACTCGGGTTTGATCTTGAGGAAACGGTTAAACCGAACATGGATTGCTTGATTAGTTTCGGGATTAGGAGAGAATTGCTTCCTTCGGTTATAGCACAGTATCCTCAAATGCTCGGTTTACCTCTGAAGGCTAAGATGTCATCGCAGCAGTACTTCTTTAGCTTGAAGCTCAAGATTGATCCAGAGGGGTTTGCTCTTGTTGTTGAGAAAATGCCACAGGTCGTAAGCCTTAACCAGAATGTAATAATGAAACCTGTAGAGTTCCTTTTGGGCCGGGCATTTACACCTGAAGATGTGGCGAAAATGATCGTGAGGTGTCCACAGATACTTTGTTCACGGGTTGAGCTCATGAAGAATAGCTACTATTTTTACAAGACCGAGATGGGGAGACCAATGAAAGAGCTTGTGGAGTTCCCAGATTACTTTACTTACAGCTTAGAGTCCAGAATCAAACCGAGATACCAGAGGCTACAGAGCAAGGGGATCAGGAGTTCATTGAATTGGTTCCTCAACTGCAGTGACCAAAGATTTGAGGAGCGATTACAGGGCGATTTCATTGATCCGGATGCTGAAGGTCCAGCCTTTTATATGGGTGGCAAGCTGGAAATGCTGGGTGGTGAAATTGTGTCTGATGAGGAAGATGATAGCGATGAAGAAGTGCTCTTCAAACGCACTGTCAGTTTGTAGTAAAGCCATTTCTGCTACTTAAATCGATCAAAATCAGTTCTATCTAATTAACATGTTATCCACAATCCTTGCTTTCGGTTCCCCATTTAATGCATTTCCCAGCACCGTGCTTTACTCTGTGTTCCTACGAAGAATCAAGGAAACTCGTCTCTCTAGATAATTGTCGTATGGAGCGTTTCATATTGTTCAGTGTTTGGCATATGCTTTTGGTTTTCGAGTATTGAGTCCCTAAATCCTAACAGCACCTTCAGGTCTTATAATAGAGGGTTGTTGTGGCTTTTGTCATTGGATTTTATATACGTACATTGCACTTTCTTCTTATAGCAAAACGTTGCACAAGAAAGATGTTGTTACTATTTGTTCTAATTGGCCCTTTTCGCCATCTTCAGTATTTCCTTTTTTTTCTGTTGATCTGGAAACACCAGATACTTTTTGTTTGTGCTCCAAGATCTTTGGAAGCTTAGTTATTGAGCATTTATGACTAACTGGTTGTTGTGGAGGACTGGAGGGCCATTCTTGTTTGTTTTCTCCATCAAGATTCTCTCTCTCCTTAAATAGGTGCAGAGACTGATGCAAGTTAACCCTCCACCAGAGACTTACCCTATTGTCTGGTAATTAGCCTTCTCCTTGTATTCATTCAAATTTTCATCAGAATCTCATCATTAAATCGAATATGACACAGGTGCAACCGCGGAGATTTGGTTGTGAACACGCAGTTATCCGTGCAGATTCATCACAGTTCATTGTTATCTTTCTTGACTCTGTGCCGAATCATGTCAACCATGGTAGCCTATAGGAATATTTTAGAAACATTTCGACTATTTGATTAATCGATCCTCTGGGGAGAAATTTCAATTCTTTTTCTGGGGGTTCATGCCAACCAGTAGGAATCTCTCACGTTAGAATCTTGAGGGTTTATTCCAAAGCATATGCTCTCCATGGTGGAATATCCCTGGAATATACTTGCTTCTTCCCATGTTCTTGTCTGAACTTCCTGAACAGCGACTGTCTTTTATAGATCTTCAGTTTTCTCACTCGTTTTTCCATGAACATAGAGTTTTGCAACCTTGAATGTGTTTGTTGATGGGCATCTAGGCATTCGTCGTTTAGAGATCCGTGTTTAGATGACCATCAACAAACGCTTTCGCGGTTATGCATCGTGTTTTCGCTTCTGAAACCATGTCGTTTTTTTTTCTGAAAATTCCTTCGAATTCCCATGTGCAAAGTTCTATCTCATTTTCTTGCTCGCTTGAATCATGGAAACAGCTCAGGTACTTGAATCTTCTATCTCTTTGCATCGAATGATGCTAGTTTAGTTGCTTCCAGTTGCCGGGTTTCGAACATGAATCCGAAACTTCGTAGTTTACTTGCTTCAGCATGAACTGCTCGAACAGTTAGATTTATATCCAAGTATGTGTACATCCCTTTCATATTTTTTGTTGTTCCCAGATTCTCATTGGAAGTAGTTCTGTTGCTGAACCAGAGAACCAGCCATTGGAGAAGAAGCCTCAAGAGCTGGCGAAATGAGCGCTTGTATTCCCTTCTGAAGTGGAAATCCGTAACAATGATTACTGAATAATTTTCCGGAATTCTGTATGATTGTATATCTAACAAAATGTATATACGCTGTGGTAAACCGAACTCTCTTTATGCAAAAAAAAGTCAAAGGAATATGTCTAAAGTGATATGGTTAACCAGTTCCATGTCACAGTCATTGACTTCCAAGCTTTTGGGTTGACTTTAGCTCCAGTTTTAGTTATTGTCGCGTGGCAATAACTTCTACCACATTTCTTGTGTGCATCCACTGACGCATACAACAACGATGCATACATGTATACACATATACATACCGTAATTGATGTTGCATTAGTACATTTTATTGAAAGACCACAAACTGAAACTATTGGCAATTTCTTAAGAAAACCCCTTCTACAGTGGAAACGTGGAAGTAACAAAGGAGAGAAGAAAGGTCCCTTCAGTGATCGGTTAGGGAAGTGATTAAGAATGCTAAACTATAATCCAAGAAAGTGATTCTTGTAACATGACATCCATTCCGAATCCTCTGAATGAATCAGGCTTCCACCGTCAGTGCTTATTGACTCTGCTGCTGAACATGGAACGGCGGTATGGAGCAGTTGTCTGACTTTTTCTGCAGGAGCAGTTTCCTTGCCGGCAATCTGTCCAGACCGCCGTTCATCTCTTCCATCACTTCTCGTGTCAAAGCCCGTATTCTGAATCCGTTGAGGTTTCGTATGTTGTTTGACACTTGAACCATTCACATATTCTGCTTCATCGGTTTCGGGTATCTGGCTGTTTATTTCTTCCCTCCATGATATTCTCACATGGGTCTGTGACATGTTACCGAATGTTGAATCAGAATTACATGACCTTCTGTTGCTCAACACCCTCGGAAACTGTGAAAGATCAAGAGAATCAGAAGATATGGCCAGAGATTCAAACTGAAAGCTTGAACTGTTTGGATCCCAATACGAAGCCTGACTCACTGGCGACTGAAGATCAACTGTTAACGAATCAAAATCTGAACCAAGGTCATGTCTTTCAGCTCGGAGCCATGAGACACCGCGATACTTGTCTGAGCTTGAGTTGGATTCTGGTGTTTGAATCACATTCTCACTTCCCAACGTGTCAATGGAGGAGGGCGACGTTTTGTCCCCTTTATCAGACTGATGACTTCTCAGTTCTTTTAGATCCAGAGAAGGATCTACCTCACAAGTCAGAGTAGTATCATATGCTGAAGCTAAACCCTTATCAGATGGAAGGTGGATAAAATTTCTTAACTGAGAAGACTCTATTGGAGAAACCAAAGAACCTGTACTTCTCCTCATCCCTTTACCACTATGCTCTCGAGCAAGACTTCTACCGCTACTGATATTGCATATATCTGAAGAGATACTCCGATCCAATAGTGGCGAAGGGGTCTTCAAGCCTTCACACCCAACAACCTCTCGAAACTGATACAAACCGTCATTGAACGTATCCTTCTCCCGGTCTTTCTCCTCGTCACAAGGAGATAAAAGCCATTGCATAGATGCATCAGCAGGCAAAGGCATCATTGACGCAGTAGAATCTCTATTGTCCCAATCTGTTCCATCAACATCATCAAAATTATTCAGCGGCTTTGGCTTACTCACATTCAAACCATTTTCACCTACAATGAGAATCCCTTTAGGCCTGCATTTCCTCTTATCACTGATACCCGAAAGTATATGCCCAGTGGCGTAACAAGTTTGTGTTTTTGTTGCCTCTGACAAGATCATGGAAGATCCACACTGTATCTCCGGAGATGCTGATTCCTGTACTGGGGGTGTCCTGTCTCTAGAGCTACTACCGTTGCTTGGTCTACCATCAGCCACAACTTTACCGCTATTCCCGTAGCCTAGACCAGATCCAGTTCCTAGTTCAGACACAGGAGACAAATGGGCACCCTTGTCTGGAATTCTCACATTAGATCCTCTCTCTTTTTGCTTAAGCTCTCTAGAACCAGAAGAAAACTCATCTAAAGCTGAAGTTTTGTTCGATTTCACAGTACTCTTGCAGGCGGGTCTCTTCCCAGACTGCCCCAAACGTGGCAATGTAGTGGTTCTATTGCATTTCAAGGGTTGCTGCCCAGAGACATTGTCTTTCAGCTTGATATCTTTCAAAACCCTAGCTTTATTTCTCGGTAAGGTTTGAGCTACTACAGGAGCTGATTTGGGAGTTTTAGAGACAGATTTCACAGGTCCACGACCAAGAGAAGCTCCCGAAGAAGAAGAAGAAGAAGAAGAAGACGATGTACAAGAATTGGAGAGCAAGAACCTGACACAACCGCTCGGTGCTTCACCGGAAACCGACCCGTATAATCCGCCATTGCTGCTACTTCCGGCGGCGCCGGAGCTTCTGGTGTTGACGTTTTTCAAAGGGTTTCGAGGAATCCGCTCCTTCTTCGTTGACGGTAGCTGCGGCTGAGGATGCGATTGAGACAATGTCTTCTTCTGGGTGATTGAGGAAGAAGATGACGATGATTTTCGATTCATTGTTCAGACACTACAATACCCACCAATCTCTCACAATTCCGATTCTCCTGATCTGATTTCAAATTGAACTTTGGCAGATGTTTTTTCTCTCTTTCTTTCGTAGTCTGACTTCGAGTAAAAAATCCCCCTTCTTCTCCTGTTAATTACGAAACGACCACTCTTTTCCTTCCGCGATGGTAAGGGCAAAACAGTCATTATCTGGAATAGAATAAGTTAATGGCACGTTCGCCGATGCCGCAACGGCTCTTTTTCACCGGAGAGAGAGAGATCGTGATCCACCGCGGTTGCGATCATCAGTTCCGGCTCCATTAAGGGTACGCTACAATTTCTCTGCTCCGTTTCGGTTCGAATGATGTGATTGAACTGATTCCTCAAATCCAATCCACGATTATTCCGGAGTTTCTGACCCGTAACTCGATTCTCCCTATAAGCTGTTGCATGCCCACGTTGTCTGAATCCTCTGGTGTCTTGTTTCTTTCTTAATTGTCTGCGGAGCCCATCTGCTCGCAACCTGATTTGCAGCAGTGAAATTTCCTCGGAGCTTGAAAGTGATTATTCAATTGGAATTCAATTTTTTTTCTCTGGAGCAAGACGAGAAAGATCTGAGGAACAATGTCCCCGGAATCTGGTCTATCTTCTTTCTTTGTTCAAGAACTGTGAACATTGTGATGACTTTGCTCATTTTGTTGTGTAGGTGGGTTTGCTGAGAGAGACAGATCTGGAATATTCAGTTGAATGCTTTTTAGGTAAGAACCTTGCTTTGATATCCAACTTTGAACATCTTCCATACTGTTAACTACAAATGACACTAAAGTTCTTACAGAATTTTAACAAATTTAAGTCTGGTGTGCTGTGTAAACATGTGAGCTAGCCACTACTGGCTTGTCTGAGGCTGGTGGAATATGTCTAACTTTTCCATCTAGGTTCGGGTTTGATCCATGAAAACTGTATGACAGATTTTAAACAAATTTAAGTCGGGTGTGCTGTGTAAACATGTGAGTTAGCCACTACTGGCTTGTCTGAGGCTGGTGGAATATGTCTAACTTTTCCATCTAGGTTCGGGTTTGATCCATGAAAACTGTATGCTCATATGCAATGTTCTTTGTCTAAAAGTTTTAGTTATCCCCAAACTTGGGATAGTTCATCCGGTGAAACGGAGATACTTAGTATATATCTCGACCCTAATTCCAATCTTCAAATGTAGAGAGAGACATTCATATGAATTTTTCTGATATCTAGTATACTGAGTAGTTACCAAAAAAAAAATGTTTTAGTTTTTTAATGATTTCTTTAGGGTTTGGTTTGGTTTGGTGTGAATTCCCTCTTCCATCTCAAGTCAAACATGCTCTCTAACATTTCCATTTAGGTTTGGTTTTGACCCATGAATGTTGTATTCTTACCTGTGATGATCACTGTCCCAAAAGTTTTTAGTTTTGCCTGGTTTCTTTTAGATGGGTGCTTCACCCCATGAAAATGAAATGCTCCAAATGGGTTTTTGGTATTTCTTCCCCTCTCATAGTTTTGTATGAATTCCCTCTTTCATCTCAAGCCAAACACATGCTGAATGCAGAATGGTGTACATGGGTAAAAACAAACGGTATAATTTAATTTTGCAAATTTTACCATTTCTACCCGAAATTTTTATCTTTTTTTTTTCAGAAAAAATAATATATAATTTTTAGGGGTCTTAATCGGGCCGGGTCGGGAGCCTGTACTTGATCCAACGGTTTTGGGTTCGGATTCGGGCCTATATCACCGAGTTCGAAGCCCGGCCCTACAGATCTCGGATTTGGATCGAGTCGAACCAAACCGACCTGCACGATTTTCTTTGTTAATATGTTTTTTTAAAAAAAAAATCGGGTTTTTTTGGGCCGGCCCAAATCGAGCCCGAAGCCCGAATCGAACTCGGACCGAAAACACGAAAATTTTTGGACTTCAATACCTCGACCCGCAGCCCACTATTTTTTGGATTAAGTCGGACCAGACTTCAGACCTCGGGCCACATTGACAGCCCTAATGATTTGTTTATTGTTATTATCTTCAAATTATGTGAGAAAAAAAAATAGTAGAGACCAAAAGGCTATAAATAATGGACAAGCGACTTCCCTCGAGCCCGAGAACTGCTCTCCAATAGAAAAATAATAACAGTGTTCTTCGCTCTTTCCC